AGCAACCACAGCTGGTTGATTTGTCTAGCAGATTTCCCATCTCGACTCTGGTATGGACACGTTTTTACACAGGATACTCGACGCGCCGGCTTCATCCGCCGCAGATAAAAACTGTAGCACGGATGTTGCAACAAGCAGTGTGAAAGTCGAGATTGCAGAAAGAACTGGTGGCAAGGAGAAACGAGCGGGATCTTTTCCGGGTCGTGTTGCCAGCACCGATAATTCGTCTGTTTTTTCACCGCGTCGATATCAAATGTAAAAATGTCTGGGTCTGGAATAGTGATGCTGTTTCTGCATGACACAGAAGGTCTGGCATGGAAGCTCTAGCATCACAGGTTTCGAGAAGCTTCCGCAATGCCGAATCCGCATGACAAGTCACCCATTTTGGTGAGAGAAAGTGAGCAGCTTTTGCTGCCTATGCATCAGAGATTTTTGTGTGTTCTGAAATGCGCATCACAAGCTACATCCTTCCAGACCCAGACATTTCTGCACTTGATAGTCGACCAAAAGTGCTGATTCTCCACGGCGACGAGGACAAAATCATCGACTGCCAGGCCGCAATATGGATTCCAAAAATGTCTGGGTGTGGAAGGTTGGAACTTGTGATGCTAACTTTGGACTCTAAAAAATTCTGTATTGCATGACCAGCAAAAGGAGTCCGGTTTGTGCTACGCGTGGAGGGCATTTGTCATGCAGCACAGGTATCAGGAAGGCCTCTAAAGATCTGTGATGCTAGGGCTTCCATGACAGACATTCTGTGTCATGCAAAAACAGCATAACAAATTTCGCATTCTTCCAGACCCAGACACTTTTACATTTGATACGCAAGTGACCTGGCGGCCTCGGGCTTCCTGTCTTCCGGCCGCTGCACGTCTGTGTTGCTGCAAGGCACGGGGCACCGCTACCGGGCTCCAGAGTGGACGGAGATTGAGTCGCATGTATCACAAGAAAAAACTGTTTCACTGTGAACTTGTGATGCATAGAATGGAACACAGAAGTATCTGTCTTGCTACACCCGCAAGACATTGGACTTTTAGGAGCGGTTTAAATTGGGAAGCGCGCATGGCAGATTTTCTGTTTCATGTGATGCACAACTTGCAAAATCCTTACAGGGAAACACTTTTTTCGTATGATAGCATGTGAGGAGTATGGAAAGAGAAATAGCGCCACGATCGCAAGGTGCCCGGCAAAAACGTATTTTATTAACGAGAAGAGCGTAGTTTGCGAATTATGCATGAGAGTGGCCGCGAGGTAAATGCGGATAAGGATGTTGAAGATTATTTACTTTGGTATGAAGATGCGGATAAGGATGAAGATTTGCTTATTGTCATATTGCCATTCTTGCATTGAACTGCAGTTTTCATCGATGTGAAAGCAGCACAAGCATCGAACTGCACTCGCGATCGCCGTGCATTTCTTTTCCATTTCCATACCACAGTTCTTAGAAGAATAGGGCACTACTACACTAAATCATAAACGAACTATTCGCTGTGACGTCAGTCGTAGAGGTGGCTGAAATAATGAATAAGATGCTCTTTTATCAACAACGGTTTACTTTACGAGAAACCGTCGGTAAAATCTAATTCGCAGGGTAAGGTTCTTGATGTCGTTGTCCTATCCTTCCAATTTCCCAGGACGAGAACCACCAGACAGAAACTACAGAAATATCAGGCTAGAAACTGGATGCTTTGAAGAAGAAACCCGTCTCTAGCGGTGCAAGAACTGCTTTCCTGTGCAAGAACTCCCTCTGCTGTTTGTCACCAAGGAGATTTTCTGTAGAAAATTGCAGACGGCTACATGATCAAAATCAGTACGAGAAAGTGAAATGAGACAGACCGATTTACGGAAGAACATCAGAAGACAAAGAGAGAGAGAGAGAGAGCGAAGGAGCCGGAGTGTGGAGGGGAGGCGAAACACGACTTCTCTAGCTGCAAAAGTTCCAGGACGACGACGACAACGACGAGAAGTTTAGCTTTACAATACTTCTAAACTTCTGCTTGCAGTGAAATGAATCACACCACCGACTTCTCGTGGTCGTCATTTACGTTGTTTCAATGCTCCTAGAAGTCGAAGAGCTCACAGTGCCAGGCGGAGCTGCAGCAGAGTGGTGCATTTAGGAAAGCAGACGTGGCGAACAGCTGCTGCTAAGCAGCAGCAGCAGCAGCAGTACTACAGCTTCATCCAGTTTTTTATTTACAAGCTTCTACTAGTACATCAACTACGCGCGAACAACAAGATGCTGCAGCCAGAATGCCAAATCTATGGCGTTCTCAAACGTTACATTCTCAACTGCTACCTGACTTGTCATGCAAAATGACCATGAGCCACCAGACGATCCAGCTGCTTCGCATGACAAGTTCTCGAATGGCTGTAATAACAGCGTCTAAATCTGTACCAAATCTGTCATGCAAGACGCGCAAGCTCCGTCCTTTCACTTTGTTTGCCATTCTTGCATAACAAATTCGTGTAACAGTTGAGGATGTAACAGTTGAGAACGCCATAAAATCTGTTTGGACATCATGGATCCGGACGACCAGGTGTCCCAGCTGATCCCCTGCTATCATATGTAAAAACGTCCCCATCCCATAGGCATAGTCAAGTTGGGAAATCTGCAAGACAAATCGACAAGCTTTGGCTGTTACGCATGACAAGTTTGGGCTGGCAGAAGTGTAGTCGTGTTTAGCTAGTGCAACAGCGTTACAAATCTAGCGCCTTATGCTGGTTTGAGCATCACAAATTCTAAAAACTCGACTAGCGAAAAATGCTTCTCATGGGGCTCCGCATGGGAAACATTTTCAGCATGCAGATTTGCATGACAACTCTGGGGTGCTGGGGACGTTTTTGCATAGGATACCTGCGGCCACGTCTTCCACACGGCCTGCATAAAGGACTATGAATCCACCGTGGTCACAACGCGGGAAGTGCGGATCCGTATCGAATGCAAATATGTCTGGGTCTGAGAGCTCGCGAGACTTGCCATGCTGGTCTGGCATGGCCCTCAAATCTGTATTGCGTGGCCAGAAAACAGCCTCTGCCTCTCTCACCTGTCATACAAAAACGCAGTTTCTGATGCGGAGTAAGTACGCAGAACAGAAGCTCAAACAAACTTGTCATACTTGGCCGCGCATTACAGTGCATTTGTCATTGACGGACTTCTTGCATCACACGTTTCCAGACCCAGACATTTTTGCAGTGCATATTCCGTTCTCCTGGGCAAATCCTCCCGCGCGTCCAGCACGTGAAAAATCCGCTCAAGTGCCCTTGCTGCAGGGCTATCGCGAGCAAAAATCCCCCCTCCCCATATCGAAACGGAAATTTGTAATGCTGATTTGTGGCCACAAATCGCCTTTGTCTTGCAGTGGAGGATTGCATGGCCATATCATGCCAGGGTACAGAGGTTTTGGCCTAGGCACTGTAGCATGAGGAGCGTCTATGCTGTAGGCCCACCAGCATTACTACAAACTGCCTGCATAATGGGGCGGTTGTCTGTGGCGTTGCTTTCTTACAAGACAGGCGCGATTTGTGGTCACAAATCAGCATTACAAATTTTCTGAGGCGTGCCGTTTCGACCTGGGGAAGGGGGATTTTTCATTTTGATAAGGGCTGTCAGTACACACATGGTGGTGCCACAACTGGTCGACGTCCCCGTGCTCCCTCTGTGTGGAACTACAGGCAGCGGCCCAACCACCACGCATAACGAGAATCCTCCCGCCACCACCGACCCTACCACGACAAAAGGCGGTGGTCCGACTGGAGACGACTATCAAATGCAAAAATGTCTGGGTCTGGAAGGTTGTGCGCCTTGTCATGCAGATTTTCCATGAACTATAGCGTCTGGAATGCAGGACCTAGCATGACAGATCATTCTGTGAGATCCGTATCATTCCTATCCTGCATGAGAAACTTCCTCTCAACTTGGTCAAAAGTGGACAACTTTTGGCATTCATGCAACACAGATTTTTGCACGATCCAGAATTAGCATTACAAGTTCCATCCTGCTTCCAGACCCAGACATTTTTGCAGTGCATAACGACACCTCCGACCCAACGGCGCAAGTCGTGTGCGCGGAAATAAATACCAGCGGCCGGAGCAGCGCGTCCTCGGGAAAGCAGGAAGCAGACCCGCACACCGTCGCTGAGGAACCCGCTGGCCCAAGTGTTGAGCCGGCCGCGAGCGTGCCGGCAAAAAGTGCGGCACCAGCAGAGCAACCGTCACTGCAGCAGGCGGCCACGAGGAAAACCTGGGACATCCGGTATCCGCAACTGCAGTACGAAGTGAAAAACTCGTCGGAATTCGCGAGGAGAGTCCGTTCTCACCGTCGGTTCCCAACACAATAGTACAGGCGTCGCCAAGCTTTCTTTTTCTGTATGTTGACACCAGCTAGCTCAGCCCTGATTGTGATGCTTCTGCCCATCAATTAGAGAGCAACGTTTCTGCATGATATCAAGACTCAGCAACCTCTCCTCCTGGTCCTATTCTCGTTTTTCCTTTCCATACCAAGCCGAACACGGTCTGCACAGTGCACGGGCTTATCGCGAGGAAAACTCCTACAGCCTCCCAATAAGAGTACTCAAAGCGGGGATTTGTCATGATGGATGCTGCTTTGTAACCACAAATCAGATTTGTCTTGCGAGAAGAGGAACCAGGACCAGCTGCAAGGAGCACTGTGCACGCAGTCTGTCATGCGTTTCGGTACTCAACTCAGCATCAGCAAGTTTCTCACTTCGGTGTAGGAAGGTGGGGTTTTTTCCAGCTCGATCGGGGTCTCCGATTATGCAGATGAAAATCCTTGGTACCACAGCTACAATTGTCGTGCGCCTCGAGCATCACTACGGAATTAATTTCTGTATTGTCATGGCAAGGATGTGGCAGCGAAAGGGACTGATGAAAGCAACATATTTTGCACTATACAAGGATTGTTTTGCGCTGCAGAAATAATAAACTCCGACTTTTTGCATACATATACACCCCCGGGCTCGAAAGGTTCTGCTTTTAGGTAAACTTCGCCCGAAAAGCACGGCAATAGTAGCTTAGGCGCGCGCTTCGAAGGGATACTGAAGACACGAAATTCAATGGTCGAGAGGTACCCTTTTACTTAGATTCGGTAAGAGCTTTGTGCAATAGCGGAGAGCGGTACTCTTGGCCAAATGGCTCTTAAAGACCAAAAAGCGCTAAAGCGTAGACTGCAGGAACCCAAAGAACCAGGTGCGAAACGCGCGCACTTTTTGGGAGAGAAAGGTGGCCACGTTTTGAAAGGCAAAAGTGGCAACTTTTGTTCTGGCCGGGCTTCAGGAATCAGGTGCGAAACCACGCGCACTTTTTGGGAGAGAAAGGTGGCCACTTTTTGAAAGGCAAAAGTGGCAACTTTTGTTCTGGCCGGGCTCAAAGAATCAGGTGCGAAACCGCGCGCACTTGAAACAAGCACTGTAGAATTTTCCCGCTTGAGGGAAGCATTGTTGCAAGCCTTCCCCCGCTTGAAAATTGGCTTGCAGCCGGTGCGGCGCCCTTGAGGGAAGCATTGCTGCAAGCCTTCTCCCGCTTGGAAATTGGCCTGCAGCAGTGCTTCTTCATTAGCGCCGCACCGGTCCGGTGCGGCGCCCTTGAGGAAAGCATTGCTGCAAGCCTTCTCCCGATTGGAAATCGGCCTGCAGCAGTGCTTCTTCATTAGCGCCGCACCGGTCCGGTGCGGCGCCCTTGAGGGAAGCATTGCTGCAAGCCTTCTCCCGATTGGAAATTGGCCTGCAGCAGTGCTTCTTCATTAGCGCCGCACCGGTCCGGTGCGGCGCCCTTGAGGGAAGCATTGCTGCAAGCCTTCTCCCGATTGGAAATTGGCCTGCAGCAGTGCCTCTTCATTAGCGCCGCACCGGTCCGGTGCGGCGCCCTTGAGGGAAGCATTGCTGCAAGCCTTCTCCCGATTGGAAATTGGCTTGCAGCAGTGCTTCTTCATTAGCGCCGCACCGGTCCGGTGCGGCGCCCTTGAGGGAAGCATTGCTGCAAGCCTTCTCCCGGTTGAAAATTGGCCTGCAGCAGTGCTTCTTCATTAGCGCCGCACCGGTCCGGTGCGGCGCCCTTGAGGGAAGCATTGCTGCCTTCTCCCGATTGAAAATTGGCCTGCAGCAGTGCTTCTTCATTAGCGCCGCACCGGTCCGGTGCGGCGCCCTTGAGGGAAGCATTGCTGCAAGCCTTCTCCCGGTTGAAAATTGGCCTGCAGCAGTGCTTCTTCATTAGCGCCGCACCGGTCCGGTGCGGCGCCCTTGAGGGAAGCATTGCTGCCTTCTCCCGATTGAAAATTGGCCTGCAGCAGTGCTTCTTCATTAGCGCCGCACCGGTCCGGTGCGGCGCCCCCCCGTCTCCGCACGTTTCCGCACCCTGGCGTGGTCGGCTGCTTGGTCGGTTTTGGGATCCTTCAAGGGAAACGGCGCGGTCCGCGCCGTTTCCCTTAAAAGGGTCCGGCCAACGCCCGTTTCCGCACCCTGGCGCGGCCGAGAAATCCCCTGGCGTGGGAGTACCACGCAATACCCCGGCGCGGGGGATGGGGGGGGCGGTTTCGGAGCTCTCCCACGTGAATCTCTTTACGCAATCCGATGTAGTTTGCCATGAGATGAGATAGATACATGACACACATTGCAGGTTGTGATCCGATTATCCAAGAGAAAAATGTTTTGGTGTGACACTTTTGGGAAAACAGCAGCACAAATGCGTGGGGCATGGCAGCAAAACCTTGTCATGCGCCGATGATATATGAAACTGCGCTATGACTGCCAAGTTGAGCATGACAAATGTAAGAACTGTATTGCAGTGTCTGCGCAACAAAGTAGTACACTTTGACATCCTTTTTCTTGCATGCCGACAGTTTGACTTCGAGCGGCAACGGTACATCTGCGAACAACGAATCATACCACGGATGGAGGTGTTTATGTTATCCAGTGCAAGTCTGTCTGGGTCTGCAAGAATGGAACTTATAATGCAATTTCAGGATCACATAAAACTTTGTTTTCCAAAAGCGCCAACGTAGCTCCATTTCGTGCTACACAAGCAGCGGACTATCCCATGCGAGACAAGCATGATCAAGAGGTCTCAGTAAAACTTGTAATGTTTCTGCGTGCGTTCCAGCACAGCTGCATCATCCAAAAGAGGCATAAAAAACAGCCGCAATCTTCCAGACCCAGTCGTTGACATATTTTCACTGGATACATAATGGAAAAAATATTAAGCGACTCAACAGTCAATATTAGAGGGCTCTTTCGGACATGCAAAGGAAACAAGACTCGTCCTCATCAAGACCGCGTGTTCAAATGCATTACCGTTGTCTTGCTAGAGAACCTTCTCGAACCCGCGCGGCCGAAAGAAAAAGTAGAACGGCCCAGCAGTACTGCTATTCAGTTCTGAAACAGCACGGGCAAACGCATGAAAAAGCAAGACCTATCGTCCAGACTGATGAACGAAAAGTTTCCCCAACAGAACCCTCGCCCCGGACAAACTGGCCGACCATTGCTCCTGCGACCGGAAAAACGTTGCCAGTGCTGGTGGTGGCACAACAGCGCGTTTTATGAAACAGAGGAAAATAAAGAGGAACTACTACGCTCCATTTACATCATCTCCAGTAGACCGAATTGCTTTATCGCTACGCCCTACCAACTACAGCTTAGTATGTTCTTGCTTGTAGAATGACTCGCTACGGTGCGACATTTCTTCTTCTGCACAACTACCATAACAAGAACTCAGCAGCATTCAGTCGAAAAGGAAAATTATAGCGGTACCAAAAATATTCCACATTTTCTTAAAGTTCCATCACGCCCTCCCGAGCAGACAAGCAGCGGATGCACCACATGCAGCAGTGCGTGCTACGGAAGCAGGAAAACTGCAACCCGCTGCTAAAAGTCCGCGAACAGAATCTGAAATACGTCCGTCCTCTGCGCTACACGCTCGAGGAAATCCAGACCCTGCTGGACCGCGCCGCACCCGGCGACCGCGTTTCCATTCTATCCCACGAAGAAAGTGTTACAGTTGCAGCACATTTGCTGTCAAAAAAGCAACACAAATTTTCTCCGCATGATGAAAGAGAAAACTTACAATGCAAAGATTACAAAGGGAAAACTTGATGAAACGAGGCTCAAAAGCATTTCTGGCATGACAACGGTTGTCTGTCATACTGGGCCTGCATAGACGATGTGGGAAACTGTAATACTTTATAATTTTTCTCGTGATACATTCCGCGCGGCGACTACTACGTGCAAACCGGTGGCGTAGCTCCAGCTGAACATGACGTGCAAACGGCCATCGCGGCGTCCTCGGCAGGCCTGGAAGAACATGCGCAAGAACACTCCGGCCCGGGCGTCGGACTCGCGTCAGGTGGCCGCGAACGTAACGGCAACAGCAACAATTCCGAAGCTGACGGACTGTCTACGGGAAGTCGGGGAGCACAGCTAGACGGGAATATTTCTCTCCTTGGCCAACCGGTGGTTCTTCTAGCAGGAGATAACAGCGAGGAACGAGATGCGGCAGCTACCTCGAAGGCCTACGACCAAACTGCAAGTGATGAAACTGACTCGGAGTCGGATCAGCCGTCCGAGGATGAACAAGACACCTGGTCGGATCAGGATTCTTCGTTCCTATTGACCGCGAGTACGACGACTACAGAGCCAAGGGGAGAAAAAGCGACGCGATACCAAAAAATGACCCAGCAGCCGGCTACTACATCTATCCTGACTAAAAACGTCCCCCCCCCGAGAGTCAAGGGGGATTTCGCAACACAACGCAAGAAGTTTTGGGCGTCCCGCATGACAAGCTGCAGCCCGTAGTGTAGTGCAGGTTGGCGAGGATAGCCGCATTAAAAATTTATTTGCTTGTCCTGTTTACCGCATTACAAATTCCAAAACACAATCAGAAATGCCTATCATGGGCATACGCATCACAAATCTTCCTACCATTGCAAATCTGCATGACAACTCTGGGGTGGGAACGCTTTTACTCAGGATAACTACATCCACATTAATTTTATCCTCCTCCCCGTTCAGCACGCAAGCGCCGAATTTATCAAATGCAAAAATGTCTGGGTCTGGAAGAGCCAAACTTGTGATGCTGCATGTGGCTGCTAAAAAAATCTGTATTTCATGAGCAGCAAGAGAAGTCAAATTTGGCTACGCGGGGAGGGCATTTGTCATGCAGGATGCGCATCGATAAGCGCTCACAAAATCTGTGATGCTATGGCATACATCACAGACATCATGGATCGTAGAAAATGTGCATGACAAACTTGTCCTCTTCCAGACCCAGACATTTTTGCAATCTATAGAATTCGTCGAGCAGCGATGTCAGTTCCTCCGACCTCTGCGCCACCGCGAACTATCAAAATGAAAAATCCCCCTTCCCCATATCAAAATAGAAGTCTGTCATGCGGTATTTGTGTACACAAATCATCTTGTCATGCTAGAAGAGAAAAGATGCGGACTTTGGTGCTGGCTGGCGAGGGAATGAAGCCTTGCATCTTCAGCATGACAGGAGGCAGCTGGAAGTGGCAAACAGCATCAAAAATTGCCTGCAAGCGAGGCCACAACTGAGGCCCTTGGCCTTCTAGCAAGACAAATCGGTTTTTGTACTCGAATACAGCATCACAACTTTCGACGCTTTCGATATGTGGAGGAGGGGTTTTTCCTTTTGATACGACCTCCCTGCTGTTTCTGGAACAAGAATTTCGCGACCGGAATGACGGGTGGTCCAAATCGACGGAGGGGTCCGATATCCCATGGAAAAACGTCCCCACCGCAGGGTTGTCATGCAAACCTGCATGCTCAAAATGTTTCTCTTGCGAAGCCCCATGAGAAGCATTTTCTATTCAGGTTTGGGAATTTGTGATGCTCGAATCAGCATGATAGGCTAGATCTGTGATGCTGTTGGATCTAGCTGAACAGGATCGCACCACGAGGCCAAACTTGTCATGCGCAGCAACCAAAGCTGGTTGATTTGTCTAACAGATTTTCCATTTTGACTATGGTGCGGGGACGTTTTTACATAGGATATCCGACGCATCCTCCATCCCGGAGGAAGACCGAGATCAGGACAAAGATTTGCAGCAACCCCTGCTAGCCAAGAACGAGGAAGATGTTGACCAGAGGAGAGGAAAACCAGGAGCTCCAACAGAAGCGACAAATCGCCAGGAGTTTGTATATGGAACAACGGCAACTGTAACCGCCACAGCTAAGGCGAAAACGGCCAGTCGACAGATGAAGAATAGCAATGGGAAAAATTCCGCCTCCGAGAAGCCGGAGCAGCGGAGCAATGATGTCCTGTACGTTTCCAAGCCCGTCGTCCTGGTCGGGAGATCGCCTATGCCCGAGAGCGGGACAGTTTTGCACTTTCCTGTCTGTGTCAAGATCAAACAGTCCACCGTCACCAGCGTCCCAGGGGTCGCCCGACTGCTGGAAATCCGGAACCTGCGAGTGCAAGCGCCGGTGACCATCCGCGGCACGCGGCTGCAAAAGTGCTACTTCAAGAACTTCTTCGTGACGCCCGACCAGGGATTTGCACAAAACCCGCAAGTACTACAGGGAGAAACGCGAGCACCGGCGTCGCTGCAGCTGCTGAATACCTGCTCGCAATCATATGGAAAAGAAAAACAATGCAAATCGATCCCTGCTACTACACAGCAAAATAAACTTTATTCGCACGTCTTAGTTCTACGTTGCAACGGCAAGCGATTCAGCGCATAATTTTCTTGCTACGAAGGCATCGCATCGCGCAAAACTGTTCTGCTGCGAACAAGCATCCTATAGCGATTTGTTATGCTGTTGCGGTTTTTTGAATCCGATTCGCCATCGGACGAATGTCATATGCGTACTTCTAGGGATGATTACGCAGAGCTTTTTTCTCTTCCTGCACAGCCGGACCACGAGGATTGCACCGTCCGGCATGATAGTAAAAGACCCCAGCAGCATATCCAAGAAAAAACCTGTGTTAGTGTAACTTTCTTTGGCTGACAGCATCACAAATTTGCTCTAGATGACAGAGAAAACCTATCATGCGTGGCTTGTAAGGGAAAACACACACGAATAGCGGACTTCATGGTTGTCTGGCATGACAGGTGTAACTCTGTGGCATGTTCTGCATGACAGACTTACACTTACACAGTTTTTTTCTTGCATACACAACCGACAGAGATCAACACGATGTTGCCCATGACGATTTTTTCAGCGCAAACAGCACCCGTTCTTCTCTCGCAAGCACGACTAGGTTTGACGATGACCACTGCGCGAGGACACCAACATCCTCTGACCGCGACGAACATACGACGACCAATGGCACAACTCCCACTGAAAGAACTCCCAGCCCCGGAATAAATACTTTCTCGTCGTGCTGGAGGAGGTTGCCATCGTCCGCGGCGTGCTCCCCCCTGAGAGCCCTCCTCCAGCGGCTGCTCCAAATCCCACGACAGTGCTGCCCGAAGCGAGCCACGGATGAAGTGGTGTTGCCCACAACTAGGTCGCAAACGACGCGGCTCCTGCCGGGGAACAACAGCGCGGCTGCAGCGGATGACAAGAAGGAAGGTATGGACGATATGGAGCTCGAACGGCAGTCCGAGATTCTCTTCGAGGATTGCTACGTGAAAGGCGGAACGGACGGCCTACTTCTCGCGTATCCACTGCAAATATTTCATGTGTTTGAGGCTGGAATATAAGTGCCACACGTTTGTCATGCACATTTTGCTTATTACCAATCATGTTCTCGCAAATGTATACCTAGCATCACAAATTTTTAGACGGTTTCTTGATGCCTATAATCTCCCGCAGGAGCAATATTCACCTCTTCGCGTACTGCGAAAAATGGACTCGTGCCCTTGCTGGTCATGCAATGCAGTTTAGCATCACCAGTTGCAAATCTGTTCCCGGCGACATCCAGGGATATTTGCAATGCATCTCGCGACCAGCAGCACAACCCTGTATTGCGAGGAAAAATCCCCCCTCCCCATATCAAAGCGACATTTCTGATGCTGGATCTGCGTACACAAATCAGCCTTGTCTTGCAGTAAAGGACTGCCGGCCCCTAGCAAGCCTGAGTGGAACGGTTTTGGCCTAGGCGCTCAGCATGACAAAAGTCTATGCTGTAGGCCAAACAGCATCACAAACCGCCAGCATAATGCGGGAACTCTTCTGGGTTTGCCTTCTTGCAAGACAGACACGATTTGTGACCACAAATAAGCATCACAATAAATTTCAAAAAATATACCTTTTCAGTATGAGGAGAGGGGATTTTCTCTTCCGATACCCTGCTCCGGCGCGTGACGATCGAGGAAACTAGCGGGCGCGGCATCGTCATATCAACTGCAAAAATCTCTGGGTCTGGAAAGTTGGAGCTTGTGATGCTAACTTTGGATTTTGAAAAATTCTGCATTGCATGGCGACAAAGAGGAGGCCAGTTTGTGCTACGCGGGGGGGGAAATTTGTCATTCCGAACGGGCATCAAGAAGCACTCAGAAAACCTGTGATGCTAGAAAAGACATCACAGACGTCACGTGTCTTGTAAAATCTGCATGGCAGGTTGCAACCTTCCAGACCCAGAGATATTTGCAGTTGATACGTCATTTGCGGCGGCAAAAGGAACTGCAGCGGCGGCGCGAAGAACCGTCTCGTCGTGCAACAAGAAGCAGATGAACTACCAGTAAGTAAACGCTTTGGAATCTCCTCCACGAAGGTTTTTCTCGAGGACAGCGCGGTGCTCGACTGTGGGACCGGCGGGGTGGGTATCCCACAAAAAAGTACACTGCTCAGACCAGGAAATAAAAGGTTGCCATGCTGTTTTTTGTTTCCCAGAAATGCTCCGCATGATAAAGACTTTCTCTCAGCTAATACGTCTCTAACCGCTAAACCGCATGACAGATTACATTGCGCCTGACAGATGACGATGATGATGTTCCACTCGAGTAAAGGCTCTAAATTGCCTTTCTTGTGGTCTCCGCATTGCAGATTTTTATAGTGATGCCATCTCAGCAAAACAAATTTTGTATTCTCTGCGGCGTGTACTTTTCTGATGGATACCGATGTTGGACAAACAAGAACATCATCGTCCGTGGTATGCAATGCGAATGCGTCTGGACGGTCAGGCTTTGTGATGCAAAATGCGAAAAAAAGCGAGATCTGTAATGCATGAATACAAGCAAGCACTTATTTTGTTGTTCAGCTGAAGGCTAGTTTGTCATGCGAAATCCGCTAGAAGTCGCAATAGTAGGAATCGAAAAACCTGTGATGCTTTCATAACGTGCAAAGCATCACTCTGTCATGTAGGAATCAGCAGTGAAAATTTTTTATATCTTTCCAGACCCAGACGCATTTGCCTTTGATACGTGGTCAAAAAGTACAAGCACCCGACGGCACATGGTTATCCCGTGGAAAAAGGTCCCCACAGAAGTTGCGGGAGTCACGCATGACCAGTGTCTTTGAAGTACAGGTTAGAAAGGACAGACGCACCACAAAGCCATTTGATTATCTTGTTATACAGCACTACCAGTTTCAAATCCGACACAAATGCCGCTCATGGGGATACGCATGACAAATAATGTTTTTCTAGATGCAAGCTCTCGATGAGAAAGTCTGGGGTGGGGACGTGCTGACACAGGATACTGTTCCAATCGGACGACCCGAAAGTCATTAAACTCGGCACGAATTATTTGCAGAAGGGACCCGCTATGCGTTTTGCAAATATGTTTGGCTCTGGCAGAGTGCACAGTTTGTCATGCAAGCTTCGCATGGCCCAGAAGGTTTGAAATGCAGAGCTTAGCTTCACAGGTTCGACGAGGGCTATGTTGCCATGTGGCCAATATAAACGGAGGCTTTTGCTGCTCATGCCATGACGGATTCTTGCGTGACTCCTGAAAAGGACCATCACATACGTTATGCACCTTTCCAGACCCAGACATATTTGCATTTGGTACCCGCCTCGGCGCAGCAGTGGGAAGCCGCGTCGGCGACGACGGACAATAAGAGCGCCGTGGTCGCTATCAAATGGAAAAATGTCTGGGTCTGCAAACTTTTTAATGCTCGGTTGGGAAAAGTGAATGCTCTGTAATGCACAACCAAGCATGAGAAATTATCTCTGCGCTGCTTAGTATTGCGCTCTCCACATGACAAACTGCGTTTTTGCATGACAGGCAAAAGGCTCTCTTCTTGGAGACACATCACAAACTCTTCAATCATGCCAGACAAGCGTGACAAACCCCGCATCCTTCCAGACCCAGACATATTTGCATCTGATAGTCGCGTGCGTCTCCGGCTGTATCGAAACCTGCTGTCCCTGCTGCTTCCCGGGGGACCAGAGCGTCACGTGAATACGTAGGCTCAGCACGACGACGACGCTACCGCTCCGCAATAGAACAGGACGAACAATTTTGCAGAATGCAAAAAACGAGATTGACAAAACGACGAGAAACACGGTCGTACTGACAAAAAAAAGCTCTTGCACGTCTCTGCGTCTCACATGAAATTTTGAAGCCGAAAAGCAGTTCACCCTATGAATTTTTTTGTCTTGTATATCGTACGAACACGCATGCTTTCCTTTCGATCCGGGACACTAATAGCCATTTGCCACGCTGCGCGGAAGTGAAACTGGAAGTGCTGGTATGAGATTGAAATTTTTGAAAAACTGGCGCAGCAGGCTGCGCCGCTGGATGCAAGGACAAGAATTACCAGGAAAGCGTAGTAGTAAACAGGCCCCAGCAAAGGTTGAAGTGCTGGCCCGTTCTGGTGCAAGGACTATAGCACAGTAAAAGTATGCACTCCGTATTGCGTGTTCAGGAAGCGCGACGAAGATCTTCTTTTCCACGACAAAGATCCTATCTTTTCCTGATCACAACGCACAACACCTGTTTTATTTATTTACGAAGATCCTCTGCACACGACGGCGATGAACATGTATAGTTTTCTGCTCGTGACAAATTTATCGTTTCACGTATATGTTCCTACTTGTTGCGACATAATTCTATAGAATCTGCCCCAAAGCCACTTGTGTTTCCCGATGAAGCTTTTGGTCGAAGCGTGGTCGTCCGCGGTCACCGCATCAAGACAAATTCCCGGGATCGTCAACCCAGCCCCCCACGGACCAAGTCGAAGCGCGGTCGCCCTGCGATCCGACAAGCTTTGCCCCCGGGCCGGTTCACGGCCTCCCGGACGAGATCCGGGAGGGGCCTAGATTTTCCTACCAGGAGCAGCCCCGCCCCATGTGTTTCCGTGCTCCTGGGGGGTGGCGCCTACAGGGGTGGAGGTGGTTGCCTGGATTTTTTGGGAAGGCCTGGGACTTAAGTAGCTGGAAAGGGGTCCGGGACCTGGGTGGGGGATGGAAATGCCATTTGCCTGGGGCCTAGTTGGAACGAGGCCCGGGGACCTCGTTGGAACTAGGTCACCGACCTAGATGAAGGACGGAAACCCCACCCGCCCGGCACCTAGATGGAACTAGGTTAGCGACCTGGATGAAGGATGGCGCCCCGTCTCCGTATCTTTTCTTTTTTGGCCCGCGTGGTCAATGATGGCAGCGCCTGCCTTCGTCAGTCCCTGCGCGCGTTCAATCTTCCGGGGCGCCGGATGTCCGTGCTTTTTCGGGTGAGGGGTCTATGTACTTGCGGAGCCGCAAACCCGGCCGCGCCGATTTGCGCACAAGAACCAAACGGCCGGCGCTTGTCGCCATCTGCTTTCTGTTTTGGCCCGTGTGGTCAATGATGGCAGCGCCTGCCTTCGTCAGTCCCGGCGCGCGTTGAATCTTTCGGGGCGCCGGATGTCCATGCTTTTTCGGGTGAGGGGTGTATGTATTTGTGGAGCCGCAAAACCGGCCACGCCGATTTGCGCACAAGAACCAAACGGCCGGCGCTTGTCGCCGTCTGTTTTCTGTTTTGGCCCGCGTGGTCAATGATGGCAGCGCCTGCCTTCGTCAGTCCCGGCGCGCGTTGAATCTTTCGGGGCGCCGGATGTCCATGCTTTTTCGGGTGAGGGGTGTATGTATTTGTGGAGCCGCAAAACCGGCCACGCCGATTTGCGCACAAGAACCAAACGGCCGGCGCTTGTCGCCGTCTGTTTTCTGTTTTGGCCCGCGTGGTCAATGATGGCAGCGCCTGCCTTCGTCAGTCCCGGCGCGCGTTGAATCTTTCGGGGCGCCGGATGTCCATGCTTTTTCGGGTGAGGGGTGTATGTATTTGTGGAGCCGCAAAACCGGCCACGCCGATTTGCGCACAAGAACCAAACGGCCGGCGCTTGTCGCCGTCTGTTTTCTGTTTTGGCCCGCGTGGTCAATGATGGCAGCGCCTGCCTTCGTCAGTCCCGGCGCGCGTTGAATCTTTCGGGGCGCCGGATGTCCATGCTTTTTCGGGTGAGGGGTGTATGTATTTGTGGAGCCGCAAAACCGGCCACGCCGATTTGCGCACAAGAACCAAACGGCCGGCGCTTGTCGCCGTCTGTTTTCTGTTTTGGCCCGCGTGGTCAATGATGGCAGCGCCTGCCTTCGTCAGTCCCGGCGCGCGTTGAATCTTTCGGGGCGCCGGATGTCCATGCTTTTTCGGGTGAGGGGTGTATGTATTTGTGGAGCCGCAAAACCGGCCACGCCGATTTGCGCACAAGAACCAAACGGCCGGCGCTTGTCGCCGTCTGTTTTCTGTTTTGGCCCGCGTGGTCAATGATGGCAGCGCCTGCCTTCGTCAGTCCCGGCGCGCGTTGAATCTTTCGGGGCGCCGGATGTCCATGCTTTTTCGGGTGAGGGGTGTATGTATTTGTGGAGCCGCAAAACCGGCCACGCCGATTTGCGCACAAGAACCAAACGGCCGGCGCTTGTCGCCGTCTGCTTTCTGTTTTGGCCCGCGTGGTCAATGATGGCAGCGCCTGCCTTCGTCAGTCCCGGCGCGCGTTGAATCTTTCGGGGCTCCGGATGTCCGTGCCTGTTCCAGTGAGGGGTCTATGTACTTGCGGAGCCGCAAAACCGGCCGCGCCGGTTTGCGCGGTTCCGTCTTTTTGCTTTTTTTTGTCGCGTCGTCAACAATGGCAGGAAGTTGCTAGCGTCCGCCCTGCATGTCATGCAAACCTCGTAGCGTCCATGTGACACGCGATCTGACCTAGACAATCCCTTTTTCGTTCCACCTACTGCCAAAACGCCTGAGCCTCATGAGGCTAAAGCCCCTTCAAAGGCTGGCGCCCAGAGACAACAATCCTACCCCCATCGCCCTGCATTTGAGAGCGGCCGAGCACGCGATCTGACGCAGACAATACCTTTTTCGTTCCAGCTACTGCCAAAACGCCTGAGCCTCATGAGGCTAAAGCCCCTTCAAAGGCTGGCGCCCAGAGAGAACAATCCTACCCCCATCGCCCTGCATTTGAGAGCGGCCGAGCGTCATTTGCTATGCGAGTGCCACTTTTGTCGACCATTTTGTCCGTTGATAGCCAGTTTGAGCGTCTCGACACGCCAGAGCTGCCACGCTACAACCCAGAGCGCAAAGTTGTTCAAGCGTGTCCTTTGATCTGAGAGTGTTTGAGCGTCGTATGGCTGTCTCGTCACCCTTTTTTTCTCGTCAATAGAGAGTTATCGTTGAGTGCATCTTCACGTGCAGGCCCGGCGACCGTATCAACAAAGTGCTTGCTTTCAATACGACCTAGGACAGTGCAATTCTTGTTTTTTCCTCAAGCAACAAAATCTTCTCAACCAAAACTATGTCTTCGCGCATTTTCCACTTCTGCCTGGTGGCCACCACGCTGTCGTTGAAACTCCGCAAGGACGCGCCAGGCAGTGTGATCGGAGGCGGAGGCGCGCACCGGCCGGGCGGTAGCGGCACGTCGGCTGGGGTGCCGGATGCGGCCTCCGATCCCTCCATGGGTCAAGCCGGCGCCGGTGCCTACTCGGAAACCGGATCCGTCGCTACCACCTCCGCAGATCGCGCGGCAGGCATGATCAGCTCGCTGATGGGCGGCGCGGGGCCAGCCGGGGCTCCCCCGCAGGAGGCTTCTCTCCCGGGATCGGCCGGTGACGCTGCGAGCGACGACCGCATCAAGGACATTGAGCGGGACCTGATTGCCGGCGCGGATATGAGAGAGAAAAATGCAAAGTTGCGCAGCTACTTGATGTCGTCATGCTTTTTTAAGAATCAGCAGAATGAACCTTGATACAAACAAAGCCTCAGCTCCAGAGGCGGCATCTGCCAGTGCTTCAATGTGCTGGCACTGGATCATCAGCATCACAAATTGCAGGCAAGTGCTTGAGTTTTTCCTTCTGATATTCCAGGCCTTTGACAAATCGGCAAGCGTGGGAGAGACACCGGAGCAACGGGAGTTGCACAACGCGGTGAAAGCGGCCCTGGTGAGCTCGCCGACCAAGCTTGGAGCCTACCCGGTCGCAGGTGCGAGTGCGGGCGCAGCTTCCTTCCTCCGTGCAGTCTCCGGGAAACTTTCCCTCACCAAGATGGCAAGCATCGCATATCCATTCTAAATGATATGTCTGGGCCTGGAAAGATGCATGTTTGTGATGCTAGCTCGTCAGTGTGCTTCAAAAGTCGTGTGGTCTTCTTTCGTCCACGGGGTTTTTCATAAAGGATGGGCACTGGTGAGAGGCCTTGCGAAACTTGTCCTGCTTCAGCGTACATGGTAAGTACCAAGAACACCAGGCTGTGATGGTAATTATGCAAAAGCTGCATGACTGACACCAGCTTCTTCCCTGAGGACCCAGAGGTATTTGCACTGCATACCGTGACGAGCGTTGCCAAAGCCGCAGAGGCACACGTCGCCTCGGGAAGAGCCAACGCGCAGTGCGACCAATCTAGGCAAAGAGAAAATATTGCATCTCCGCGGAACGCAATCTGTCATGCGCTTCTTGCAGCTGTGATGTGAAGGTGTGTAAAGAGATAACGTGTAAAACCTAGCAGATCCGGCAGAAGAAAAACACAATCAAAATTGTCCTAGAAAAAGACGCAATACATTTCTCCACTCCATACAACCCTGCCAACCCAACTTCAGCGCGTGCCCCCAAGGTTGGGAATCTCGTCGGGATGGCTCCTGCGCGCATCCGTCCAGCTACAGTGGCTATTGCAACAAGCCGGTGCGTCCAGCGGACTTCTCTGCGGCGACGCTTGAGGAATTTGAGGTCTACTGCAGCGTTTGTTTCCCCTGCTCTGTCTAGAGACTTCTGCTGAAGAGACGGCGCGTTTCATTGTTCCAACAACATCTTTGTCGCGGATTGTTGTTTCTCTTCCCAGTATTTTTGGCTTGTGATGAAATTTTTTCCTTTCCGTGAAAGTGAACGCCTCCCGCTTGTTGAAAAGCAGGCAGCGCCACTTCTTTGAAACAGTTCCTGTTCTATCGCTTTCTGCGCATCAAAGAGTCGCTTTTTCGTTGGAGTGAAACAAGCCAGAAACCCCGCTCGGAGTGAAAGGGTCGTTGACCCATCTATAATTCGCTGTTGCAAATCGCTGACGTAGTGTAGATCCGCATAGAACAAGCGCTGTTCGTGGACGACCAAAAACAAACTCAAAGTCGTTTTTTTTTCTCTGACAAACAGTTCGCGTCACAAAGGCCGCGTGCCGGTAGTTAACAACACGAAGATGTACCTGCTGTTCCAGTGTTTGCGGGACAAGCTGGACGACCTGCTAGACAAACTACGTGGCTTGCCGTCTGAGGACGAGTACCTGGCACGGCGCTGGAACCTACAGCCCCGACGGCGCTTTCCTCGTGTCGTAGCCAGGTCGCCGTCCGTGGAAGTAGATTCCCCTTCGGTGGACCAAGGTCAATCCTGGGATGAAGAACGGGAGATGCAGTGGCAAGAAATGGAGGCTGCGCGACGAGCTGAGATGGACAGGCAATAGGATGATGATAAGCTTTCTCGGATCGCTTGCAACAGCATGAATTTTTTCATTTTCTACAAACCCCCCAAGACATCTTCAAGAGCTCCATTTTTTCGCCTCGTTTTCTTTCAGAGTACGGGAAACGCCGCTGCGACTCACTTTGAAAATTTTTTGCCTTTTGAAATTCTGCCAAAGAAGCTGCCAGCTCTGCGCACTTGCCTTGCTGCAGCCCGGAGCAGCAAAAGGCCTCGCTCGGGTCATCTCTACAAGAATTGTATAACAATCGGGAATTTCAAATTCGTCTCGGCTTCAGTCGCTTCAGAGAAATACGACCGGGAAGACAAACTTTAATCTAAATCGTGCCTCCTCGACTCGCTAGGAATTTGAGTGATATCGGTGAGCGCTCGCTGCGACGACCAAAATCGCGCTTTTCGTCTTCTACATTTCCATCCAGTTGTAAGTAGACTTTTCCATCCGCAACTACCAGTAGAGAAGCGCTTTCAACAAGAATCCATTACCAGTTACTAGAGACGTCCTCTTTCCACCCGTGCGTTCAGAACTTTATTCCTAAGAGCTCAATAACTACATCTATTGAAGAGAACTATATTTTTGTCCGTGATCCTGTGAAGCACAGCTCGTTGTAAACAATTGTATTGCATCAAAAACATCATGTTCGACTTCCTCTTCGTTCCGTGCTGTCCCACGCAGAGTGATCTCCTGTGCACCAAACCTATTCCGCCACTGAGCTCCCCGGATTTAATTATCCTCCGCAAGAACGTCGCCACGACCCCAGAGTTGTCAAGCGGATTCATTACATCTGCAGGAGCCAATGTGTAATGCGCATAGCCAACATGATCCCATGAGCGCCATCATTGTTCCTGGCCAAGTTCCTTGGCATTTCTGAAGGTTGCTTACAGGATCAGCTGATGGCTTTGTGATGCTATAACGTGCACTAAACGAGAAGAAGTAAACTCGTCAAGATTAAGTCCCAACTTCTGGGTTTTTCTTACCCCGTAGGCCTCATCTTGACAATCGGGCGGGGACGTCTTTTTTGCACAGGATATTGATGCACTCAATCCTGATATTTTTTTGCGAACATCTACGCACGACCGTACAGATGTGCCCCCGTCCCGGACGCGCGCAGGCGCGGATCAAAGTCGGTATAAGAAGATAAAATTTGCTACTTGTTTCTTCTCGGCGCATGTAAGAACTAACCACTCAGCTTAAGTTATTTGCAAGCTTTTTTATTTCAGTGGAAGAATATTTTTTCAGTATCCACTATACCTAAAACTCAGTGTTTTCCCACCAGCTCTGGCTCGTGCAGGAGGTCATGACTCGCGTTCCGGAGGACAAGTATCAGGAATCGTGTGCAGTTTGGGTCGAGGTAGAATATTTTTTCTTGTTTCTAACATGATCTTCACCCTAATCGTACTAGCCACTGTGTGGTTTATTTCTGAATCGAGCTATATGGAAAAGCTATACTGATGTTATCCTCACAGAAGCAAGTCAAATGATACTCGGAAAGACAAACCATATCACAGTTCATCGGGGAATTGTTTTGCTGGCTCATGAAGAAGGACCCGGCCCGAGCAAGGTTGCTGTATCAGACCAGAACAAAGCAGGCAGCTCAGATTTGTAATGCAAAAATAAATACGCAGAAACGAGGTCGCCCGTGACAGATTTTTCTGCGTATTTGTTTCTGCATTACAAATCTGGCCTGCCTGCTTTTTTCTGTGGGATAAGCCCGAGGCCGTGCTGAAGACCATGGACCGTCTAGTGCCGCAAGCAGCCCAGGGCCTTGGCCGTACTACTTTTGCGTTCATATTTGTTTGTCTTGCGCTCTGTGTTCGCATGCCATTTCTTTACTTCTCCCACTTTTCGTGCTTTAATGTGTATCTGGCCCCGCCACACTCTCACACGTTTTGGCACAGGTCAGGAGGAATTCCGTCTAGCGCACGGCGAGAAGAACTGGAGGAATGCGGAACTCGTTACCCACTGCGAATATCTACGTGTCTGGAAAGTTGTGACGCATGTCAATGAATGATGAACCAAGCATGACAGATTTCTTTGCGGCTGCTCCTCTGTGTTCTTGCATATTACGCATGACAAACAGCGTGCTTGCATCACAGAGACAAAACCCTCTTCGTGGGAACGCCATACAAAGCTCTGACTCATGCCAGACTACCATGACAAATCTCGCGATCTTCCAGGCCCAGACATAATATTTGCAGTGAATATTGATGCTCTTCCACCAGTGGCTGCAGACGGGTCGCGACGCGTTTGTCGACGCAAGGATGAACTGGACTTTCCGTGACTGAGCTTTTACAAGTAGAACTTGCAAGGAAATGAAACAAAAAAAGATGACAGTTTTTAGTGTTGGTTCCCCTTCCAAAAATTTCCATATGTTCGTCGTGTCCTTATTTTCCAGTTCTTTGCTACCTACTTACAAACTAGAGTTTTTTATCTGAACATCTGAAGATGATGATGATATTACCCAAAGTAAAGGGTAGTTACAAAGAGATGCGGGATGTTACACTGGTGACCTAGGTACAAAGAGATTGACTCAAGAAGTTACTCTACAAAACCTCCAGAACTTCCGTTTCAGAGCTTCTACCGAACCTGTTTTACCTGATAGCCCTTGTTTACTTCCCTGTTTTTACAATAGCTTCAACCTACCGCTGGTTTTTCGTTAATGCGAGTCATCACGCTTTTGTCAGAAAATACTTTACTTTCGATCAGAATTTGTTCACAGTGTCCACAACTCGACACTTCCCACCTTCGCAGACCTGCTGAGCTTGGAACTTTTTTTGATGTTGGAAAGTGAAGGAACATGCTGACCCGCCAGCTAAGTCGCCCCCCGTGGTTACAGGTTTATTTTTCTGGCATGCTCGCGTACAAATCGTGGGCAGGTGACGCGCCGCTGTGACGGATTGCCCCGCAGGTTGTCTGAGGAGTTGCAATTATGACATTTTCGCCTAGAGATGAGACTCGGTGAGAGGCTCGAGGAGAGACTCGCAATTTTCGCCGTGTGTCGATGAGAGACTCGCAATCGCTGCCACCGAGCGCATCGTGTGTCGTGTTGCGTGAATTGCATTTATCTATCGCTGTCGTTCCAAGTCGACAGAATGAAATGCAAATCATTGTGAGAGGAACTCTAGACGAAATTTCAGTACGTCGTCGCTGTAAAATAGCGAACATTTTTTTTTTTCCGCAGCTGCACTAAGTATTTCCTAAAACTAAAACCATGTTCGGGCTTCCCAACTTCTGGGAAAGTTGCTGTGTTCCGGCCCACCCGGAGTCGATTCGCGGAATCGCTATACCAAAGGGCGTATGACTTGAAAAGATGTCTGAATCTGGAAAAGCGCAGCGTTTGTCATGCAGGTTTTGCAGGCCCCAGAAGGTCTGAAATGCAGAGTCCATCATCCCGGGTTATGTGAGAGAATTGCAATGCTTGCTCAGCATATAGAAATCCTCTCTCAGGGTGGTCAAAAATGAAAGCTTTTGCTTCTCACACATGACAGATTTTTGTATTACAAATGAAAAAGGACATTACAAGTTGCACTCTTCCAGACCCAGACAGATTTGCGATGCATAGGGTGCATTGGTGAAGCACGCGATCGGAATTGTCCGGCACGTGGAAACTATCAGAAAGGAAAAGTGCATAAGCTCTTTGCTTGTCTGTACTGCTTCGCGATCTGCATCAAAGAAAAGCCGGCAGTTTGTTCTATCATGAACCCCGTTCTTGGCAAAGGTTGTGTACTATCGCAGGGAGGTCTTTTGTGATGAAGTTGTTCCAAACAGGCAGGTCTTTGAATACGATGGATACGCTTTTGCGCTTTTGCACCTGATAGTGATCCAGCTCCATCAAGACTCTCTGAAAGACCAGTTGCCCCTGCTAGAGGACATCTCGAACAGCATTAAATTCGACCAGGAACAGTCTATGGGACTCTTCTACCCCCTTCTGCGCCCGGTGCGCACCAACCCGGCGCCCGCGGGAAAGTGTACGTTTGGGGCGTGGGCAGAGGTATTGTCTTGCTTCTACAATTTTTCTTATCGAGCCTTGCTCGTAAATTTCTCCTGCTTTCTTACACCTTTTCGCCAACAACAACCTCGAAGTTTCTTTCAGAACTAGAAATATCAATTAAGGATTTTCGGCGGAAAAAAAAACCCATCAACCCCAGTGGACCCGTCGTGCTCTGCGCGAGCTCGCGAAGAAGGACGCAAATCGAGGTAAAATTATCGAGCAGGCCATCGTGACTGCGGACCGGTTGCAGTCGGACGCCGCGACGGGGTTCGTAGGGCTCACGGGCGTGGAAGAATACTTCACCCGGTGGCTCGCTTTCCTGCTCGAGTCGCTTCTGGTGGCGGACCGCTTTTGATAGTCTTCTGCGGGGAAGTGAAGGCACCATTATACTGGTGAACTTATAAAGAAAAGCAGGCCTTTATTTTTGTCAATACCTAGTATTAGCAGCTGGAAAAAATATCCTTTCGTTGAGCTATCGCTGAACTTGAAAAGCACTCAATACCTAGTATTAGCAGCTGGAAAAAATATCCTTTCGTTGAACTATCGCTGAACTTGAGAACAAGCCCCTCGACCTCTCGGGTGATATTTGTCTTGCAAAAAGACCTCTACTAGACCAAAAAGTTGCGGATCGGTATCTCTGGAAGCGTCGTGGGCTACAAAACCAAGTCGCGCCGTTTATTGGAAATGAATCTTCGTTGTTGAGCGTGAAAGCGCAGCGCGTGTTCGACGCAAAAAGCAACGTCTGCATTTTGATTTCGTACTGTGAGAGAGGACAGCAGGAGAGAAATTCGTTTGAGGGCTCGACGTGTACAGGGAATGAACCAAAGATCAGGTCGCATCGCCAGTGGTAGGCTTCGTTGTTCCTTGTACGCTGAATTTCTGATGTCGGCATGACTGTCGCACTGGAGCCGAGTGAATGAGCGATCTTCGTGTGCCACTGAATGAACATTTTCGCTTGTCCTTCCACAGTGTATTGTTCTAGCTAAACGGAGTGTGCCGTCGGGGCCGACACACAGATATTTTTGTTTCTATCTATCGAAGTACAACAACCAACAAGCAACTGCCAGTCTATAGCACCACGCCCATGTACCTGCTGTTCCAGTGTTTGCGGGACAGGTTGGACGACCTGCTGGACAAACTGCGTGGCTTGCCGTCGGAGGACGAGTACCTGGCACGGCGCTGGAACCTACAGCCCCGACGGCGCTTTCCTCCTGTCGTAGCCAGGTCGCCGTCCGTGGAAGTGGGTTCCCCTTCGGTGGACCAAGGCCAATCCTGGGATGAAGAACGGGAGATGCAGTGGCAAGAAATGGAGGCTGCGCGGCGGGCTGAGATGGACAAGCAATAATAGAAGAACTCGCTTACTTCTCCGACCGCTTCAAACGGCACTAATGTTGATTTATTTGAAAGAAGCTTTAGGCCTTACTTGAAATTCTGCGAAATCAGCTGGCAGAGCACAACAGTTGTCTAGCTCCAAGGCACGTTGTTCTGCTGGTCGTTTGCAAGAGCATCAGAGAGGGTCGAGAAGCATAAGAGAGGACTACGGGTTTTTGAGTCGTCGGCATGTCGCTCGTGTGGTCGTCGGATGAGAGAGAGACGAAGCATTAGACAGGATTAAGGGTTTTGGGGTCGTCGGATGAGAGAGAGACGGAGCATTAGACAGGATTAAGGGTTTTTGGGTCGTCGGATGAGAGAGAGATCAAAAGACTTCGACCTGCATCTGTGGCCCCAGCCGACGTTAGCTTGAGTGATTCGACACAATAAAGCGCCACTCATAATGATAAAATTGCGGTGCTCTTGTCTTCCGCCGTCTCTTTCTAGCTCTTTTTTTGTCGTGAACCTTCCTGTCCTTACCTGCTACAGCAGGGGACGCCAGCTCTTTTGTATAATAAAATTCGGTGCTGGATAAACCCGCCGTTATCTTGGAGCTTTTTTTTCTCTCGTACTACCCATATTACGTGAAAAATGCTTTGCGATCTTTTGTTCGCTGTCTGCTGTGGGTTGGACCCCGACTTGCTTTACACGCAAACAATCCCGGAGAACAGAGGACCTGAGTTGATGCTTGAAATCCTGACCTACTTCTGCTACACCCACCACCATACGCAGAACCGAGTCGGCATGTGCCCCCGCGCTGGGCCAGCAGAGCGTTATATCAAAGTCGGTATAATATGCGTAATCTGATTTCCTTTCCTCATTGTATAAGTACAATTCGTCGAAACTGAAAGATAGTGTCACTTTGTCACAGAGCCCGAGAACGCAGGTGTACTTGGTTATTATCAGATAAAACCAAAAAAACAGGCATGTCGGGAGACGACAAGTACATGGTCAAAGGGCTGTTGACAATGTTTCCGATGCACGAAGAGCCGGTGAGTGCGCACGGGCTCTGGGAGAAGGTAAAGAAAACATTTCGGGCCCCTGGTGCGACGACCAGTTCGGACTTTATTTTGTTTCTTCACCAGGGCTTCGCCCCGTCTCCAGCTCTGCTTACTACTTCGTATGATTTTTTTCTGAAACAAGAGACCTCTCTTGCACCCAAACAACACAGTACATTCGGGATCTGTTCGAATACGTGGGAAAAAAAGACAAGAAGTCCTGTCGCCTCCTGGAAGACGTGGTCAAAACGATGGATTCAGCGGTGCCGGAGGCGAAAACGCACTTGGGTTGTAAGTTTTGATTATTCCGTTGATGAGTTCCACCAAAGATGACGTTCTTCTCATAGAGCCGGTAGGCATGATAAACCTATGCTCAGCGGCGAGCTGTTGATGAATGACAAATGCAATCATTTATTTTCTCGCTTATCACTTTCTTTCCGTATACATTTTTATTTTTCCATACAGGCGACGCCGCCTTTCGCGACCGCCACACTACTCCGAACCAGCACTACACTGAGAAAGAGTATCTTGAGGAAGAACGCCTCCGCCCCACTATCTGTGTACTACAGGAACAGGAGATGTTAGCATAGCACAATCGGGCCATCGCAGTGCTGCAAGTACCTAAAGTCAGCTGGTGCGGCCGTATCACAGATCGATCAATTTATCCTGCTGGTAGCATGACAAATTTCAAATTACCATATACAAATTCCCTCATGGGGTTACGCATGCGAAACGTCTTGGGCCCGCATCTTTGGATGATAAAGTTGGGGGGGGGAGGGGTTTTTGCAAAGGATAGAGAGCAGGTATTGTTCGCGCGATGGTTATATCCACTACAAATATGTCTGCGTCTGGAAGGATGCGACTTGTCATGGTGCCTTTAGATCATGTGCGATAAAATCCGTATTTGCTACCCGGAGAGGGCATTTCTCATGCGGTAAAAGCATCAGAAAGCCTTCGCAGAGTCTGTGATGCTAGGGCTTGCATCATGAAAGTCATCGGTCATGGAAACTATGCATGACAAACCTGGCATTTCTCCAGACCCAGACATATTTGCAATGCATAGGCTGGAGGTCGGCTGCAAGGCTCTGCAGGACGCCAAGAAGAATAACCAACGCAAAAATGTCTGGGTCGGGAAGTAGATCTTGCGTATTTGTCATGCCTCTTTATTTGGATGATGCAAAGCCGGTTATCCGTGTTTTTCTCCTACCCCATCATGCATCTTCAATACGGGGGAGGGTTCGCTTTTTGTGCAGCAGTAAGTGGGCAATTCGTAGGCGGCACACTCACGCTGCAACACAAATTTTCATGTGACCCAGCGTTCGCATTGCAAGCTTGCATTTTGGTTCCAAGCCCAGACAGATTTGCGGTGGATAAGGACCATGAATGGACCGAACGCGGGTGCGAGATTCAAACCTATCAATTGCAAAAATGTCTGGGTCTGTAAGATTTCTAGATTTGTCATGCATATTTTCCATGACCCATGATGTCTGTGATGCGTGCCGTAGCATCACAGATTTTTACAGCGCTTTGCAATACCTCTACAGCATGGGAACCCTCTCCGCATGGCACAAACTGGAGTCCTCTTGCTGGTCATGCAATACAAATTTTTTCGGAATCCAGAGACAGTGTCACAAGTTTAGAATGTTCCAGACCCAGACATTTTTGCATTTGATAAAACCTGTGCGTTAAGTACCAAATTCCAGACACGCCCGCGGGATTCTATGAAAACTACGACCCGATGAAGTATATGACCTTTAGTCCTAACTAAACTCGAAGCACGTGAGAACAAGAGCTTCCTTTGAGTCCACTGTGTCGTGCTGTTTCCCGTTATTACACTGAACATAAAACTCTTTACTTTTTGTTGTTTCAAAGAACACTGCTCTTACTTCGAATTAATCGGTTGAAACGTGGTGAAAAAATTTTAACAGGGTTGCTGAACTTTTAAGAAAGCTGCTGAACTTTTAACAGAGTTGCTGAACTGTTTTAACAGATGAAATGCTGAACTTTTACCAGCGACGTGATGTAGTTCCGATGACTTCGCTGCAGGGGCTAATTGAAAATTGCTGAGGTAGACAAAACCAAGAAACTTCAGATATTCAGAGCTGTCTTGCAAAAAGACCCGACGAAGCAAACCCTCGTACGCGAGAAAGAACCTACTTGTTTCACAATTGTGTGCGCTAAAGAAACTATTCCCTGTTCGTATGTTCGTGCGAACACTCTTCAGTAGTCTGCGTTGAAAAGCAGGAGGCTGTTCTTGATTGTGATGTTGCTGTTCTCGAGACGCCCAAAAAAGACATTGATCCATTGCCGATGTTGACACTATCCGTTGAGACACCCGTGACAATATTCAAAGAAGTCTGCTGTGAACATTTTTTTCATGAGACAGCTGCAGCTGCTCTCCAGACCTTCCATCTTCGGTTTTGTTGCGTCTCCTTGAACTTTTTTTTTCGTCCAAAATCTTCTCTCAGGACCGTCTTATTGTCAGTTTTGATTCATTCTTGCACGATTGCATCATGAGGACTTTCCATAATTGTGCTGGATTTATTCGCCATAGTCCTGTTGTTCTGTGATAATTTTCTGTAGCACAACTGCGCGTGTTTTCAACAGCTCACTTGCAGGACGAGTAAATAACCTCAAATCACCAATAAATCGCTTGACGTTCTTTTAGACCTGTGAAATAATGTCTTTTTTCCAGGTGCACGCGCCCGGCCAGCACCAAAAGCAATATGGAACAGAAAAATGCTAGCGCAGCGGTGGACGTGTTGTGAAAGTTCTTCTGTCATGAAAATAGTAATCGCCATCGCCCCAGAGCAGCCGTGCATACTACAACCAGCACAAGAACAAACCTGTCATGCCCAGAGCGAAATTTGTCTGCACATCTGCAAACACCCTTTGCTAGCGGTTTTCTGTGCGATGCGTTCTTCCTGCAGACGGGCATCTCACCCACCACAAACCGGCCAGTGTATTTATCCGACAAAAAAACTGCAATGGTGCGACTCACTAGCCAGGCAGGCTCTTTTCATCCAAAGGAAGTTGCATCACAAAAACTTGTTGTGCGCAGCTTAGTACATCAAAATATGAGGTAAAATAAATATGCTGCGTGTGACAAAAGTTTCGCATGGCAGGCTTCTGTGTCTTGCATCGTCTCCATCGTGGTCCAGAATCGCACTAAAATTGCAGCTCTTTTGTCCTCTTGCATGGTACTCACTCCGCGTCCATAGGTCCCCACTCACGGATGACGGCAGAAGTGAAGTTACCGTGTTTGACAACCAGTCCAACGTGGCGCCTTCGCCTGCGTTGAATATCGGAAGAAAAAAGTGTTTCCCTGTATTGAGCTTGTGACGCAAAGAATGCAACACAGACGGATTTGTCTTGCTAGTTGTACAACACATGCAAGAGGAAATCAGGTTTTGAAAGATCTTTTCCCTCAGGAGGACTGCATGTCATGCGTAGCGAACTCTTGATGCAAAACTTCAACAATGAATCGCATACAGTGAAACACTTTTTTCTACACGATAGTGAAACCCGTCCACCTCACGTACGACGGCAACAGAGATGACAGTGAGCACAAGATGAAACTTCTGCGCCAAAAACAAGCAGAAGCCGCTGCGAGAAGACACCACTCCCCCAATAGTGCAGAACAGCCCGCGAGAACCGAGGGAGTCAAAGTCAACGCCGTCGTATACGACGTGCAAGTCCGCGGCGCTCTCAACATGTTTTTTTCGGCGGGCGGCCAAGTGTCACTGGCGGTGCTGGAAACAGAATGCGTGCAATCCGGGCAGAAGCTGCAGCATCTGTGGGCGCCCCTCCAACCGTCGCAGGAGATCCGGAGTGCGGCGCCGGCAACCATGGCGCAACTCCTCGGTGGGGAAGAAGGGTACAACGTCTCGGTCGGGCTATGCTGACTCAAAACGTCCCCACTCCAGCGTTCTCATCATGCGGATTTGAAAATTAACACGGAACATTTGTAATGCGAAATCCCAGTCGAGGCATTTTTTCAAACCGAGTTTTGACATTTGTAATGCTGTAAACAGGATGAGCTGGTGTTTTTGTGATGCGGCTGTAGTTGTCGATATCCTGCACTACAGCACAGAGAGGTGGAACTTGTGATGCGTGACTCTCGGAACTTCAGGATTTTTTGTGTTGCCAAAAATATATCCCCATCTTGATTATCGGGTGGTGGGCTCGTTTTTACTCAGGATACGGGATACTGGAAAATCTAGCGGAAGTCGCAGCCATCCTCGCACCCGAAGGCGTCCCGGTGGGTATGCAATGCAAATATTGTTCTCGACCACGAACTTTGTAATGCTATCTTGTAAAGAATGACAGTAATAATCACCAGCCAAGCATGAGAAAAATTTGCACGGCCAGTGCACCTGCTGCGCATTCTGCATGACGATGTGTTTTTCTGTATGGTCAGGACAAGAGCTTTCTCGGGGACTCGCATCACGACAAACTCTGCAGTTATAGAAGCATGACAAATCTTGCACTTCTCCAGACGTCGAGCGATATTTGCAATGCATAGTCCGAGAGATGGAACCCGTGGAGAACAACTATCAGAGTGCACAACCCCCCCTCGCCCTCATTTATAGGGCATGAATAGAAGCAACACAAGCGTCAGCTGGGGTGCAAGTTTTGCATGACAAATTTGCGCAGGGTTTTAGTGCTAGTTTGGCGGCCAAAATTTGTCATGCAAACAGTGCCAAGAGGGAAGGCGTGGAGTTGGTACTTTGCATGACAAAGGAGGGGGAGGAGGGGTTGCGCACTTTCATAAGAACACGACACACTACATCCGGGACTGCTTGATCAACTGCGGCAACCCGTATCCCGTGTCAAAACGTCCCCAACCCAGAGTTGTAATGCAATTCTGCATGCGTAAAATCTTTCGTTCCCATGAGAAGCATTTTCTGGTGGTGTTTTGAGATAATTTGTGTTGCTCGAATCAGCATGGTATTTGCGCTCTGTGATGCTGCTAGAATACTACTTGCGAAATACAACTACACTCCGACCCTGAAATTTGTATTCGCAACAGCCACAGCCTGTCGATTTCTCTAGCAGATTTCCCATCTTATCTATGGGGCGCGGGGACGTCTTGTCTCACGATAACCCGAACATTGAACTCACCGCCTATCAAATGCAAATATGTCTGGGTCTGGAAGATTGCAAGGCTCGTCATGCACATTTTGCACGGCCCGTGATGTCTGCGATGTACTATGCCCCAGCATCACAGATTTTTTGCGGGTATCATGACGCCTATCCCGCATGACAAATGCCCTCTCCGCAGCGCAAAAACTGGACGCCTGTACTTGCTGGTCATGCAATACAGATTTTTTTAGGTTCCAAAAATAGCATCACACGTTGCATTCTTCCAGAACCAGACACTTTTGCAATCCATACCGACCTGTTGAACACCATTTTGGATAGCGCGATGTTCAGCACGAACCAGGTCACTATCAAAAGGAAAAATCCCCCCTCCCCATATCAAAAAGGAAATTTGTGATGCTGATTTGTGACCACAAATCGACTTGTATTGCTAGAAGGCCAAAAGACGCAGCTGTTCCTTCGTTTGCAGGAAATTTGTCATGCTGTTTCCTGTTTCCAGTTGCTTCCTGTCATGCTGAAGACGCAAAGCTTTCCCATGCCAGCCAGCACTGAAATCTGCATCTCTTACCTTGTAGCATGACAACGCGATTTGTGATCACAAATCATACTATACAAATCTCCCTTTGAGTATGGGGTGGGGGGATTTTTCCTTTTGATAGTCACGACGGAGTACTTCAACTACGGTTCGCGCTTCCACAACAAAATGTATCCTGTGTAAAAAAGTCTCCACCCCATAGTTGTTGTCATGCAGATTTGCATCTACACAAAAATCTGTAATACGCATCCGCGAGAGAGGAAGTTGTAGTCGTGTTCTGGGCGGATTTGTAATGCTGTAAACAGAATAAGCAGGCGTCTTTGTGATGCTGCTGCCCTTGCTACAAAGTACTACAGATGGAGCCTTGTCATGCATAACTCCCAAAACTTCGAGATTTGTGTTGCAGATTTACGAACTTGACTATGGGGTGGGGACGTTTCTACTCAGGATAAACTGATCGACATCGCCACGCGGGCCCAGAGCGAACTCGAGCTGTTGTCCCACTACGTCGAGATGGAAGCGAAGGGACCACCACCACTTGTCACCAACACAATCCCTAGCCCTTCTCCAAAGCCGGTCAGCGAAACAGCACCCCAGTCGACGACGCAGCCGGTGCCTGGTATTTATCAAATGCAATTATGTCTGGGTCTGGAAAATTGGAAGACTTGTCATGCACGCTTTGCACGAGGCATGATGTGTGTGATGCATGCGATAGCACCACAGATTTTTTGAGGGCTTCTTGAAGCCTATTCCGCATGACAAATGCACCTTCCGCGTAGCAACAAAAAGATTCCTTTTGCTGCTCATGCAATGTAGATTTTTTTGCCATCCAAATGCAGCAAAACAAGTTGCATTCTTGCAGACCCAGACATATTTGCATTCGATAATATTATTCCATATACCATCCAGCAGTCCCTGAAGTCCTGGATAATCGAACTCCCGTCGTTTCACAATATCCAGTGCAAAAATGTCTTTGTCTGGAAGAGTGCAAGACTTGTCATGCAGATTCTCCATGACGCATGACTTCTGGAATGCAGAACCTAGCATGACAGATGCTGTGAGATCCGTATCATGCCTGTTCTGCATGAGAAAGTGTCTGCTCTCAACTTGGTTAAAAGTTCACAACTTTTGGTGATCATGCAACACAGATTTGTTTGCATCGGATCCACGCTTAGCATTACAAATTAGAGTGTTCCAGACCAAGATTGATATTTGCAATGCATACACGCCCGGGTAACAAAGCTGCTCTCAGAATACGACCACTACCAGTCAATTGGGCAGAAAGTGGCCAACCCGTTCGGGGTCCGAATGGATGGGGCCGCTTCGGTCCAAGACGCGCAACGCGTCCGTCACGTCCTGCCACTGGGTCATCTCTACGAGAGCCGGCAATTTTACAGCACCGTGCTGGTTCCGTCGGAGACAGTGGAATTGTCCGGGGGGGCACTGCGTGCAACAGTATCTTGAGCAAAAACGGCCCCACCCTATAGCCAAGTTGGTGAATCTGCAAAGCAAATCTCCAAGTTTTGGCAGTTGCGCATGACAGGTTTCCACCTGCAGGGTAGTGCTGGTTAGCAAGGGTAACCGCATGAGAAAGCCATCTTCCACTCCTTTTTGCAGCATTACAAATGCCAAAACACGATTGCAAATGCCCCTTATGGACTCCATAGGAGGCATTTCTAATCGTGTTTTGGCATTTGTAATGCTGCAAACAGGAGTAGAAGATGTAGATGCGCATTACAAATGCTCGCGTCAATGCGCATTTGCATGACAGCTTTGGGGTGGGGGCATTTTTGCTGAGGATGCGCTGTGGAATCGCTCCAAGCGATGCCCCCGGACTTGCTCGCGGTTTGCACGTTGAAGGTGAGGAGGGAAATCCTGCGGCTCCTGGACGCAGAAGGATGCGACGCGGAAACCATCACCCTGGGCAACGGCCTCCAAGTGTCCTACTTCAACGCCGCGGAGCTCGCAAAAATGGAAGACGACAGCGCGGGCCTCACACTTCCACCGCTGGAGAAGCCGGCAGACGACCCCGCCGAGGTGACGGGCGGAGACCAGACCCCGAGGCTGACCACTGGACCGGCGTCGTTCAAGCGCCCCATATGGAAGAGCAGGAAGTAGATTTCGCCCGAATTCCACTCGTGTCAGGGTCGTAGCATTTTTCGTTTACTTGAACTTGTCATGCGATGCTCTGGGTCTCTGTTCTGCAAGACTTAATTGCGAAACGAAAAAGTTATTGAAAACATAGGGCTTATCTGCCTACAGTTGCTAAGACCAGCTTTTAATAAACTTTTTCTACTCCATGCAGCGCAAGTGATTTGTGAGTAGCACTAGGAACACAGAGTCAAATCTTCCCGAGGACGGGCTTCCTGCTTTGCTCTGATAACTAGCAGAGAGTACCAAGTCCAACATGCAGCTGAAGCAACTGAAGACTGACCTCGAGAACCGCGTCCCATACTACACAAAATCGGCTGCCCAGCAGGCAACAGCTGCGACTCTGATGCAAAGAAGCTTGCATGTTGATGCGCCGTACAGACCGCACATTGCTCCGCATGACAAAGCTCCTGCATGTTCCTACCAGAATTTGTCAGACCCCCGCTGCAGGCGTTTCGTGGCTCAAGCAACATTGGCTCAAGAATTTGGCGTGTTGCCCGTACTGCGTGCCGGGCTGCACCCCCGGCCGTAGACTAAATTTATTTCGAAAATCTACTTGAGCGAACTGAGAGCTCCTGCACTTATTGACGAAACCAAGATGTGCATCCGATAATTCCTGTGTCGTTCTTGGCCTTCGGAGCCGCGTGGCAGGCGGGCTTCTGCCGTCCATGTTCCGACCCGGTGAACACGCCTTCCTCCGACGCACGGCCAATTTCGAAAAGGCGATGAACATGCTGTACATCAAAACGGAAAAACAACTACACCACCACTGGCATCGTGGACATTCTTGACACACCACGGGATCGGCGTGACGTCGGGACTGCGAGGTGCTGGTTGTGAGTTGCCCATAGTCCCTGACATGGCAGTACCCTCTGTCGCCCCCCCGTGCGATTCCCACCGCAAAAGCGCGCTAAAGAGAGCACCCGAGCCACCTCTTATTTTTTTTCTGATTTCTGTCTTGTGCCTCCCTCGAGGTCATCACTGGAACTGTACACTACTTCTTTGCGTCAGATCAAACGCTGTTGACCACTGCTAACTCCATAGCGGCACCGGATTGGACGCTGACTCCCCACCGGATATCAGAGTGAAAATCAAGCATCCAACCACAGCCTCATGTTTAAGTAAACACCGGACCACGCACGACGCGATTTTTGTCAGGCTGCATGACCATTCATACTTGTTAAATAGTAGTGTGCACAGAGTTTATTCTGCTCCCGGGAAAAGAATAGTAAATGTCAGCATCCGTGGTTGGAGAAAAATTTTCCCTACCAAGTCGAAAGCACAGCTTTCCCCCGATGCTGAACTCGAAGAGGACCAGGTATATTGTCGATGTTGTGGAGAATGAAATTCTGTGATGTTATGGAGTGATTGGTTTCGTGACGCAGATGTTCTCATTTTTCTCCAACCACGGTCAAAACAACGTATAATTTTCTCCTCCCACGCATCGTATAACAGGTTGGAGCATCTTCTTTCCGTCCGCCGGCAAGTACAACTGAAGGGCTCCTCAATAAGCAAAACGCAGGCGTACAGTGTCAGATCTTGAATTTGGCTCTTGCTATGAGCCGCGCATGTCTTGCATGACTCTTTGCATGAGCCGCGCAAGTGGCAAGAAGAGGAAAACAGCTTTTGGACACAATTCACCTGACCTGTAAGTACTTTTTTGCTTTCCATAGTGCCTGGGTCATCGCCAGATTCGAATGCGGATCTGGTATAAGTAGGGTCGTGTTTGCAATTATAATCTTCATTTACAGCGACGAATAATTCAATGCCATTTTTAACATGATCATGCTTCGTTTACTATTCAACCCCCCTCCGTGCAAAAAATCAGGATGTTGGCGCACAAACCAAGAATAGTATGAATAACGAGATGCCCTACAATCGACACAGAAGAAATCAGTGTGCATCCTGCGACCACATGTGTCCGAAAAGTCCTGCGACAGTAGATTGTCATGCAGAAGATTCGGTGTGCGATGAAGACCGACTAGAAATAACAGCATTTTGCTCTCGAACTACAACTACGCAAAGATACTGCAATAGCATGCTGAGTACAGCTTTTCTTCACTCGGGTGTGCATTGTAGGGACGCTTTTCCTCTTGACAGCCCAGACGTCCCTGCATGAGTCCGTCACTACAGTCGTCATCGACGTGCCGATCGACGAGAAGGAGAGGCTGCACAACATGCTCCTGAAACAGCTCCGGCAGGTGCGGTCGACGAAGTACAACATCGGGCTGCCGAGGACGGACGACGCCGAGGTCTACGCGGTGCGAACAGGAACGCACCTGACCGGATGCGACGCGAAGCTCATGCTCATGACCGGTGAACAAATTCCAATCGGATGGAAAAGTCTCGAACAGCTGCTCGTCGACGCCGTGCGGATCGTGTGCGGTGTTCCCAAAGCGACCATCCTCGGCTCGCCAGAACGTGCAAATGACATGCTCGAAGTGTACAGGGTCCTGAAAAAGGTCAACTCGGTCAAGAAGTTCCAGTCCAGCACAAATCGCAGCATCGAGAAGGCCGTGTATCCTGAGCAAAAACGTACCTGCACGATGGTCAAAGTAGAAAATCTGTTTCGGGTGGACAAACCCGCATGACAAGTTTGGGTATGTACTCACAGAACAAGTTTTGAGAGGACTCACGCATGACAAGTTTGGATATGCAGCACACCCGTGCCGAGAACGCGCAGTCGCGTCCCTAATTAGCTGCGCAACTATGCATGCAGAATGACGAAATTCCAAACACGAGTGGAAAATGGCTGACGTGTGAAGGTACATGGGAGACAATCTCGGTTTGCAGATTTGCAGCGATGGGTACGCTTTTGCACAGGACACCCGCCCATTCGACGTCATATGCGACACCGGCGTTCTTCAGCGTGACAAACCTTTTATCAAAGTGGAAAACTGTGCCGCCTCATACTCCCAAACCCTTTGTTATGGAGCAAGGAACGAAGCACGGCCTTTATTGCGATAGATGTGGCACGAGGGTGCGAAACTATCTCAACAAAGCAGTCTATGTGCATGCTAGGCTCTCTTTGGCGAGTGTGAACCGCGATAGAAGCTTCATCTGCATGCGCATGAACACCGCCTCGATGCTCCAAGCGGGTGTGAGGCTGGAGTAGTTTTCTGTACTTTGATAAAGGCCAGCCGGAAGTCGGAAACCCTGTACCGCGAGGTGGGAAACGTCGAGTACTTCCTCTTCGTTATCATCCTGGCCTTTGCACAGCACAACGGCGAGGACCGGTTAAAACGGCTGCGCGACTTCTGGACCGGAAAGGTGAAGCTCCCTGCGACCCCCGACAGGGGCGGCAACCTAAGCAGGCAGCAGTACCAGCGGAAGGGGTATCTCGTTCTGTCGCAGACGTCTGCGAACTAGGATCGGGCTAAATACTGAGACAACATCCGAAACCTCTCGCGCGGGCTGATGTAAGAGAAAGAAGCGAATCAAACGCAAAGGAACGAGGACTGTGTTGCCACCTCGAGTCTTGTGAAGAAGAACAAAAATATTGCTATTTCGTGCGAAAGAGAGAAAGGAAATCTCTCGTGCGGAATTCAGAAACAATTTGAATTTTCAACACAAATGTCAACAGCATTTCGGGAAACATCAACACGCGAAAAAATTTGCTGCCATTGTGGAAATTAGTTGCTCCAACATTGGTGGAGAACGTGAAACTTTTTTTCGTCGCGTTTCCCTTCCCTTCGTCTGTACCCAACCTCATAAGTAAGTACCAAGTAACTCTTCGTCAGTTTTTATCGCGCTTACAGGTCGTTTCAGTCTTCTATCGTAGGTGCAGACGCAGCGTCTTCGTATTTTCACAGGGAAGTGCGAAAATTATGTGCACAGTCGTGAGCACGTTTGTTTCTTTTTTGACTTCCAAAATGCTTCAGCCAAATCGTTCGTCATAAATCAATCGTAATCTTACAAGTCGTTCCACCACTATTTCTTTGCTTCAGTTTTCTTGTCGCTGTGTTTTTTCAGAGGCACGTTGGTACTTTTCCGTCAATTTTTTGTTCGAAAAGAGAACGGAACTATCGCCATTTTTTGAAAATCTATATAATTGCCAAGGTGCGGTCGCACTTAAAAACTAAAAAGTATGGCTATTGTAGTGCCTAACTCAAAAGCTTCTCTGTAGCGATCAAGTAACTCGCTTCCTACTTACATCAACCCTCTTGCTCATTAGAGAACAAATTTTTTCGAAACACAGCAACAACGACAAAAAATTTTCTCGCATTTCGCGCTACAGAAACGCAAAAATGCCGCCAGCCGCCGGATGCCTCAAGTTCTTGCCCAACCGGGGCGTCGTCGTCGACGATCGGCAGCTCGTCTTCCTTTGTCTTCACGAAGACAGCCGGGCTTTCGTCACGGAGATGCTGCCGCTGGACGAGCTTTCACAGGGCGACCTGGTGCTGAACGACAAGCCCTACATCATCAAACTGGTCAGCAAGTTCCAGCGGGATTTGCATCCGGTTCTGAACGACGAAAATTTTGGCCAGCTTCTGGACCAGTTTTGCGGCAACGATGAGCACTACGCCGAGCAATCGCGCAGTCCCGACCCGACCGCGCCTACAAGCCCCAACCCGGACCTGCCTAACAATCAACCCGGCGCAACACTCAGCTTCGAGCAGATGACGCAGCTCATGACCACCATGGGTCCCACATTTCAGCAAAACAGCAGCCCAAATTCCACTTCCACCGAGGAACGGAAATCCAATCAACTCCTGAAGAAACAACCTGTCCGCAACGCAGATAGCGATACTCTGACGGAGTGCCGCACCAAGCTCAACGAGTGGAAAGAAATGGCGCAAAGCCGCGCCGTTTCCCTTGAAGGAGCCCAAAACCGCCCAAGCAGTCGACCACGCCAGGGCGCGGAAACGGGCGCTGGCCGGATCCTTTAAAGGGAAACGGCGCGGACCGCGCCGTTTCCCTTGGAGGAGCCGAAAACCGACCAAGCACCCGACCACGCCAGGGCGCGGAGACGGGCGCCGGCCGGATGCTTTCAAGGGAAACGGCGCGGTCCGCGCCGTTTCCCTTGAAGGAGCCCAAAACCGCCCAAGCAGTCGACCACGCCAGGGCGCCGCGTGTTCGTGCTTTTTCGGGTGAGGGGTCTATGTACTTGTGGAGCCGCAAAACCGGCCGCGCCGATTTGCGCACAACAACCAAACGGCCCGCGCTTGTCGCGGGCAAACGACAACGATGAAAGAAAGCGACAAAACGCACACCCGTTTTTTTTCTACATGCATCATAATGCCAGATTAACTATGCGCGCAATGATTAAAATGCATAAAACATTTGCAAATGTTGCATTTGCGCACTTTAATATACCGTTAGAAGCTTGCCTAGACTTTTTCGATGCAAAATCGAGAAGATATGCCGTTGGGTTATTTTTCTTGTGGATGCCTTTTTCGGTTCGGCGATTTTTTTTTCTCAAATATCTCCTACCGCAAAAAATATTGCAAGCATGTTTTTTCGTTCCGCTGACTCTTGCTCCCACGCGCGTGATGTGGTATCGTATCACATTCATTCGCCGTGCATTTTTGTTTGCACTGCTCGGATGT